GTCATACAGCAAGATAACAGAGACTAAGGTAGGAGGATGCTGAGAGGGTAGCTGAAGACACATGTTCATGTTGAGAAACAGAAATGTTGAGTGGTGGGTGGTTAGTATCTGATAAAGGACCAAAAGTTGAGTTGAAAAACACCAATATTCTGGTGGGTGCTGATGTTGGGGCAGACCCAAATTTTGCATTCCTCAAGTGAAATTCCTATGGCTTGGCTGCATTACATCCACTCCATCACTGCCTCAGTAAGTGACAGGTTTATTACTGAAAGTGCTCTGTTTTATAATATACAAATGGTTAGACAGCATGCATAATGCAGAGAGATGGGCATAATGAGTCTTATACTGCATAGGGAAAAGAAGAAGATACCAACACAAGCCACTCTGTGGAGCTTTGATGCTTTGCTACCTTTGGAATTGGTGACTCAGATGTTGGTACAGGTGAAATTGTATTTCTTCTGGTGGGCTTGTCGCTAAGTCCTCTTGGATGAAGTTCATTTAGCCCATATGACCCTGAATTCTACATTAGGAATAGATATGCTTGAAGATACTACATTGCAATGGTATCTATTTTTAAAGTTCATTCAAATGAGTAAATAGGTAGCTATACATTTGGCTGTTTCTGTTTCTGGTACATGCCCAAACTTGACATATGGAAACTTTAAACAGCCTAAGTACCCCTCTGATTCCTTGAGTAAGTTTATGTGGTTGAGATGAACAGTTGACTACAAATGAACACTATTATGTGTTCAGTGATTTAGCCTGTGTTGGTAGCAATGGGCACTTGCATCACATAAAGCAGCTTTTTCAGTATGTTGTATTTGCTATTTCTTCATTATAAAAACATGAGATAGGTACTTAAAAAAGATATTGTTTTTATTTATTTAATTAATCGTTTATATAATGTGTATGGGTGTAATGTCTGTACACCACAGGAGGGGATCAGATCCCATGTGACTACAATTATAGTGGTTGTGAACGGCCACATGGTGTTGAAAGTTGAACTCCAGACCTCTGAAAGAGCAGTACTGACTTTTAACCCCTCAGCCATCTCTCCAGCCTCATAATAAGTACTTTTAAATTTTGAAGATTAATTCAATCTTTATTTCCTAAGGATGTGCAACTCATGAGTGTTGGGATAAGAATTTGAATCTAAGATTGTAAGTTTTTATATCTTATGTCTTTTTTTAAAATTTAAAACAGAAACAGGCTTGCTTTCACATGTCAATCCCAGCTCCCTCTCCGTCCCCTCCTCCCCCACTGCTCACCAACCCCTCAACCCCTCAACCAATCCACATTCTGCTCTCCACAGAGGGTGAGGCCCTCCATGGGGGGTTCCCAAATTCTGTCATATTATCCGGGGCCTAGACCCTCCCCCATGTGTCCAGAATGAGAGAGTATCCCACCATGTGGAATGGGCTCCCAAAGTCCATTTGTATGCCAGGGGATAAATACCTACTACCTGAGGCCCCATAGATTTCCAAGGCCTCATCACTGATATGCAAATTTAGGGAGTCTGGATAAGTCCCATGCTGGCCTCTCAGCCAGCAGTCTGGGGTCCATGAGATCCCCCTTGTTCAGGTCAGCTGTTTCTGTGGGTTTCACCAGCCCAGTCTTGACCCCTTTGCTCGTCACTCTTGCTCTCTGCAACTGGGTTCCAGGAGTTCAGTTCAGTGTTTGACTGTGGGTGTCTGCCTCTGCTTCCATTAGCCACTGGATGAAGGCTCTAGGATAAGGTAGTCATTAATCTCATTATTGGGGGAAGGGCTTTTAAGGTAGCCTCTCCACTATTACTTAGATTGCCAGTTGGTGTCATCCTTGTAGATCTCTGGAAATTTCACTAGTGCCAGGTCTCTTCTCAAACCTATAATGACTCCCTCTATTATGGTATCTCTTATCATGCACTTCTCTATTCTTACCCTGACTCAACCTTCCTGCTACCCCATGTCCTCCTCTCCCCTTCTCTTTTCCCCCTCACTTTTACCCATCTCACTCTCCCCTCCCTGCATGCTCCCAGTCCACTCAGAAAATCCTGTCCTATTTGCCTGCTCTGGGGTACCATGCATATCTCTTAGGGTCCTCCCTGTTTCCCAGGCTCTCTGGAAGTGGGATTGTAGGCTGGCAATCCCCTGCTCTACATATAAAATACATATATGAGTGAGCACATACCATGTTTGTCTTTTTGTGACTGGGTTACCTCACTCAGGATGGTTTCTTCTAGTGTCATCCATTTGCCTGCAAATTTTAAGATTCCATTGTTTTTTTCCCCACTGAGTAGTACTCCATTGTGTAAACATACCACTTTTTCCCCATTTACTCTTCAGTTGAGGGGCATCTCGGTTGCCTCCAGGTTCTGGCTATAACAAATAATGCTGCTATCAATATAGATAAACAGACGTCCTTGTTATATGAATGGGCATCTTTTGGTATATGCCTAAGAGTGGAATTGCTAGATCTTGTGGTAGACTGATGCCCATTTTCCTGAGGAATTTCCATACTGATCTCCAAAATGACTATATGAGTTAACACTCCCACCAGCAGTGGAGGAGGGTTCCCCTTTCTCAACATCCTCTCCAGCATAAACTGTCTTCGGTGTTTTTGATTTTAGTCATTCTGACAGGAGTGAGATGGTATCTCAGAGTTGTTTTGATTTGCATCTCTCTGATGGCTAAGGATGTTGAGTACTTTCTTAAGTGTCCACAGTCATTTTAGAATGCTCTGTTGAGAATTCTTTCTTTAGTTATATACCCCACTTTTTAATTGGATCCTTTTATGTTTTGAAGACTTGCTTCTTGAGTTCTTTGTAAATTTTGGAGATCAGTCTTCTGTCAGATGTGGGGTTAGTGAATATCTTTCTGTGGGCTGCCTTTTTGTCTGGTTGACCGTGTCCTTTGCTTTACAGAAACTTCACAGTTTCAGGTGGATCCATTTGTTAATTGTTGATCTCAGTGTCTGTGCTACTGGTGTTATGTTCAGGAATTGGTCTCCTTTACCTATTTGTTCATGGGTACCACCTACCTTCTTTTCTAAGAGGTTCAGTGTGGCTGGATTTATGTTGAGGTCTTTGATCCATTTGGACTTAAGTTTTGTACATGCAACAGACTTGGATCTATCTGCAGTCTTCTACATGCCAGCATCCAGTTATGCCAGCGCTATTTGTTGAAGATGCTTTCTTTTTTCCATTGCATAATTTTAGCTTCTTTGCCAAAAATAAAGTGTTCATAGGTGTGTGGGTTATTATCAGGGTTTTCAATTGGATTCCATTGGTCTACCTGTCTATTTTTTGTGTCAACACCAAGCTGTTTTCAGGACAATAGCTCTATAACAGAGCTTGGAATCAGCAATGGTGATGCCTCTGCAAGTTCCTTTATTGTACAAGGCTGTTTAGGCTATCCTGGGTCTTTTGTTTTTCCATATTGTAGGACGAAACCGTGTGCCACCATTAACCATGTGACTTACTAGAGGCACACACAGATGAGGTAATAAGAGGGCGGTTTACTGAACCACTAACCACACCCACTTTAGGCATGACTAAAGACGTATACGGATGTAGGTGGTGAACTACATCACTAGCCAGACCCACTTTTGGGCATGGCTAGGGGCATTACGGAGGAAGACTGAACAGCGGAAGTCTAGCTCTTTTTTTCTGGCTTTCCGGCGTCCAGTTTGGTGGCAGAAAACTACTCGGCTCATCTGGGTTACTTGTTTGTCTCTTGTGAGTAATTTCTACAATAAATACTTATTGTTACTAGCAGTTAGTGTGCCGTTTATCATTGCAGCATCATTGGGAGGTGGGAAGAATTAGGAGAAAAACATGATCAGAATATATTTCATGAAAAAATTTCATTTGAAAAACAGCATTCTCTCTATGTCAGAGAGCTCTTACCTCATGGGCCACTGCAAATAGAGTAACCCCAAATGACTGGCCCAATTAGCCTCGGCAGTGCTCAAAAATTCTTGCCCAATTCAATGGAGAGCTTTATGGAGGCAAGAGGCAAAAGCCTTAGAGATTCAAGAATTAAAGAAAGGTCATGAAACGCCCAAGACAAGATTCTTGGGGAGGGTGCTTATGCTGACCTGCAGGTTCAATCTGCATATGACAAGCACATGTTGTCTTTATGCTGTACAGCTGCTTTGGATAATGTTTGTGAAACAGGAAAGATAATGCAACCCTATACCAAGGTAGTACAGAGTCCAAGGGAAAGGTTCACTGAATTTTTAGAGAGATTGTCCAGAGCAATAGAAGTACAAGTAGCAATCCAGAATCTAGGCGACTCCTTATAGAATCTTTGGCATATGAGAATGCAAATCCACAATGCAAGCAGGTACTTTGGCCATTAAAAAAAAGATCAGTGCCATTGGAGGAATGGGTCCTATATACAGCAAACCTGGAATGTAAAAGTCATGATACGGGAGCTTGGGTAGGTGAAGCTATTTCTACAGGCTTGAGTAGGCACCAGGATGCCAAATACCCTACCTGTGATGATATAGAGGCCTGGGTAGGGGAGCCAATCTCCAAAAATTTTAATAGACATAAAGATGCCACATGCTTTAACTGTGGTAAAATAGGACATCTGAGTAGGAACTGTAGACAACGCATTCCTAGAAATAATGTTTTTACCAGTAATGCATCAAACAGAAGGCCTCAGCCTCCTGGTCTCTGCAGGAGGTATGGAAAGGGCAGACATTGCACCAAAGAATGCTGGTCGACTACAGATAGAAAAGGTAGACCTTTACAGCAGGGAAACATAAACAGGGGCCTCAGGGAGGCCCCCAAAAGCAAGATTATCTGGTCATTCCCAGTGACAGTGGAGGACAGCCTCTCCTAGGACAATTAGAAGATCCACTGCCCATTGTAAATAATATGGCACTGGATAATACATTAGCTCCAGAGGTTGAATTAATTATATCAGGACAAAATACAAAACGTATATTTTGGCAAACTTCTATACAATATCATAGACCCAAGTTATCAGTTAAAGTAAATAATATGGCCCTTAGGCCTCTGATCGCTCTTGTATTCCTGACGCGGCTTCTCTTTCCCGCGCGGTCTACTCCTCCATCCCACCTGGGATAATGGCGACTGCCGAGGTACTGAACATTGGGAGAAAACTCTATGAGGGCAAGACAAAAGAAGTCTATGAACTGTTAGATAATCCAGGAAGAGTCCTCCTGCAGTCCAAGGACCAGATTACAGCAGGAAATGCAGCTAGAAAGAACCATATGGAGGGCAAGGCTGCAATCTCCAATAAGATATAATAAGCTGTATTTTCCAGTTGTTACAAGATGCTGGTATCAAAACGGCTTTCACCAAGAAATGTGGGGAGACTGCTTTCATTGCACCCCAATGCGAAATGATTCCCATTGAATGGGTGTGCCGAAGAATAGCAACTGGATCTTTTCTCAAAAGGATCCCTGGTGTAAAGGAGGGGTATAAGTTTTACCCACCGAAAGTAGAAATGTTCTATAAGGATGATGCCAATAATGACCCGCAGTGGTCTGAGGAGCAGCTCATTGCAGCAAAGTTCTGCTTTGCTGGACTTGTTATAGGCCAGACTGAAGTTGACATCATGAGTCATGCTACCCAAGCTATATTTGAAATACTGGAGAAGTCCTGGCTTCCCCAGAACTGCACGCTGGTTGATATGAAGATTGAATTTGGTGTTGATGTAACCACCAGAGAGATTATTCTCGCTGATGTTATTGATAATGATTCCTGGAGACTCTGGCCATCAGGGGATCGGAGCCAGCAGAAAGACAAACAGTCTTACCGTGACCTCAAAGAAGTAACTCCGGAAGGACTACAGATGGTGAAGAAGAACTTTGAGTGGGTTGCAGATCGAGTGGAGTTACTCCTGAAGTCAGACAGCCAGTGCAGGGTTGTAGTGCTGATGGGTTCCACTTCTGACCTTGGTCACTGTGAGAAAATTAAAAAGGCTTGTGGAAACTTCGGGATTTCGTGTGAACTTCGAGTAACACCTGCCCATAAAGGACCAGATGAAACTTTGAGGATTAAAGCAGAGTATGAAGGGGATGGCATACCTACTGTATTTGTCACAGTGGCTGGCAGAAGCAATGGTTTGGGCCCAGTGGTGTCTGGTAATACTGCATATCCAGTTATCAGCTGTCCCCCCATAACACCAGACTGGGGTGCTCAGGACGTGTGGTCATCCCTCCGACTGCCCAGTGGTCTTGGCTGTTCAACTATACTTTCTCCAGAAGGATCCGCCCAGTTTGCTGCTCAGATATTTGGATTAAACAACCATTTGGTGTGGGCCAAACTTCGAGCGAGCATTTTGAACACGTGGATATCTTTAAAGCAAGCTGACAAGAAAATCAGAGAATGTAATTTGTAAAAAAAAAAAGTTTTTAGGAGAAACGTTACATATTCCTAGTTCAGATTAAAGAAAAGAATTCTAGCAAAATGATTTTGCATCAGAGAAAGCAATTCAGTTTACTACTGAACAAATGGTCCTCTAGATTTTGGGGATTGACAAGTTGTCAGTGAGTTTTTGTTATTAATATTTTCTAGCTCTATGAATAATGATGTGTTCCCATAACCTCGGCACACCAGAGTCTGAGGCAGAACTATGTGTTGAGACCCCATACTGAAATAAAAATCTTTATGGTTAGTAAAAAAAAAAAAAGTAAACAAAATGATGATTAATGGCATTTTAGACATCGGAAGTGACGTCACCATCACAAATCAGAAGTCTTGGCCCCCAATTTGCCCTTTAAAAGAGGTTAACGTTCAATTCTTAGGGATTGGAACCCTATCTCAAGTTAAGCAGAGCGTTAGATGGATTGACTTTATTCAGCCAGAAGTACAGAGAGGAAGGTGAAAGCCATATGTTGCAGATATTGCTATAAACCGGGGTTTTGGTCTATTACAGCAATGGAATATGCATGTTAACATTCCTCCTGTATCAGCTAGGAATTATAGACAAGCTCTTGGTGGTAGAAAGAATATAGTAAGGCAGTAGAGAAAATAGATGGCAAATGTACAGGCTGTACAGAAGCAGGATGCTAGTGCCAAACCTACAGAGCAACCAAAAGCTCTACCCTTAAAATGACTGACAGATGAACCTGTCTGGGTGGGTCAGTGGCCTATGACATCTGAGAAGTTAGAGGCTTTGGAGAAGTTAGTTCAGGAACAACTAGATGCTGGACATATTGAGGAATCAACTAGTGCATGGAATTCACCTGTTTTTGTTGTCAAGAAGAAGTCTGGTAAGTGGAGAATGGTTACTGATCTTAGAGCCATCAACAAGGTAATTCAGTCTATGGGGTCTCTACAACCTGGGATGCCATTACCTTCTCTAATATCTAAGGATTGGCCAATTATAGTTATAGACTTAAAAGATTGCTTCTTCACCATACCATTACAAGAAAATGACAGACAAAAGTTCGCCTTCACAGTATCTACGTATAATAATTCCCGACCGGTACAGGGATTCCACTGGAAAGTAATGCCTCAAGGTATGTTAAATAGCCCAACTTTGTGTCAATATCTTTTGCATAAACCTCTAGAAATAATTCATAAAAATTTTCCACATTCATTAATATATCATTATATGGATGGCATATTACTGCCTGATTCAAATAAGGATATTTTGGAAAAGATGTTTGAAGCAGTAAAGGAAACTTTGCCTCATTGAGATTACAAATTGCCCCAGAAAAAAATACAAAGAAGAGATTCTATTAACTATTTAGGTTATAAAATTGACTCTCAGAAAATTAGACAGCAGAAAGTACAGATCAGAAGAGATCGTTAACAGACTCTTAATGATCTTCAAAAACTATTAGGAGAAATCTCTCAATTACAGACAACTATCAGTGTAGAAGGGCATGATTTAAAACAGCTGAAAATGGCTTTAAAAGGAGATAAAGATCTAAACAGGCCACGAGTACTATCAGCTGAGGCTGAAAAAGAATTAGAATGGGTAGAAAAGAGAATATTAGAAGCACATGTGGACTGTGTGGATCCAAAGCTGGATTGTATTCTGGTTATTTTACCATCTAGAGAATACCCTCCGGAATATTAATGCATAGGGAAGACATCATACTAGAATGGGTATTTCTGCCACATAAATAGAATAAAAAATTGAAAACATATATAGAAAATATCTCCAATTTGATATTAAAAGGTAAGTTAAGGCTTCGTCAACTGACTGGGAAAGATCCAGCTGAAATTATTGTACCTATAACTAATGAGGAAATTTCCTCCTTATGGAAGGATAATGAGTATTGGCAATAGCTTGCAGTGACTTTTTGGGAACTATTAGTAATAACTATCCCACAACAGAGAGAATAAAATTCATAAAGAAAACAATTAGGATTCTTCTGTGTATCGTGAGGCAAACACCTATTTCTGGAGTTCCTACCCTCTACACGGATGCAAACAAATCAGGTAGGGCAGGGTATAAATCAGGAAATATAAGTAAAGTAGTTCAAAGCCCTTATAACTCCATACAAAAGACAGAGTTATATGCCATCCTCATGGTACTTAAAGACTTTACAGAGCCACTCAATATAGTCATGGATTCTCATTATCCAGAGAGAGTTGTCTTGCACATTGAGACTGCAGAATTTGTTTCTGATAGTACAGAGTTAACCTCATTGTTTTTACAATTACAGGAAACCATCAGAAGCAGGATTCATCCTATATATATGTAAAATACACATCAGATCCCCTACAGGTCTGCCAGGTCCTCTGGCACAAGGCAATGATGCTTCAGAATTTTATAAGAAACACCATATTAACAGCAAATGTTTAAAGAAGGATTTTTCTATCACCTGGCAACAAGCCAAATAAATAGTAAGAAATTGCCCCAGTTGCTCATTCTACAATCAAACTCCATCACCATCAGGTTGTATTCCTAAAGGTATTCACAGAAATGAACTTTTGCAGATGGATGTATTTCACTTCCCAGAATTTGGCAGTTTGAAATATGTATACCATTCCATAGACACGTTCTCAGGCTTCCAATGGGCTACTTGCCTCAGCTCTGAAAAAGCTGATTCTGTTATTACACACCTATTAGAGGTGATGGCTATTATGGGTATACCTAAAACAATAAAAACTGACAATGCTCCAGCATATGTCTCCAGTAAATTGGAACAATTTTTCAAATATAATATAAAACATGTAACTGGTATATCTTACAATCCCACAGGACAAGCAGTAATTGAAAGATCTAACCGAACCTTAAAAGAGATGCTTCATAAACAGCCAGGGAAAACAAAGACACCTAAACACAGGTTACATAATACTTTACTAACACTGAATTTTCTTTTCTTTTTTTTTTTTTTTTTGGTTTTTATGAGACAGGGTTTCTCTGTATTGTTTTGGAGGCTATCGGTCCAGCCCGGCCTCGAACTCACAGAGATCCACCTGCCTCTGCCTCCCGAGTGCTGGGATTAAAGGCATGTACCACCACCGCCCCACAACACGGAATTTTCTTAATGCTGGTGAAAAAGGACAAACTGCAGCAGAAAGACACTGGACTACAGAGAAGACTTCTGAACTGAACTGAACCAACCGGTGTATTTTAAGGATGTTATGACCTCAGTCTGGAAACCAGGATATGTGTTATGTTGGGGAAGAGGTTTTGATTTTGTTTCCACAGGAGAAGAAAAACTTTGGGTTCCATCAAAATTAATTAAGATTCGATCAGAACAGAAGACATCTTAGGAGGAGGAAGATAACAGCTCATCTACAAAATCATATTCTACCATGGGTAAAGTAACCTCCTAAAAGGAAAGAGAAGTGTTTTGTTTTTTTGTCTTCCCAGGTAAACTCAGCAAAGAATAATGGACATATAGATTCCTGAAGAAGAATGAATAGCTACCCTGAGGACCATCAAACAAACAGTAACTCACTGTGTGGTATCAAAGTCTAAATCTCTCTATATTGTTTTTTTATAGTACCTTATCTTTGTTTCTTCATATACTTCAGTCCCCATTCATTTAACTGAAGCTGGCTTTGGAGTTGGATTGGCTCTCCTACTCTAAATTCAAGCATATTATTTAAATAAAATTCAGAATTTCTGTATTATATCAAAGAGCCATTGATATAAGACAGAAGAAAATAAAATTAAGGACTGTTATCTGTGGATTTCTTTTTCTGAAAAGTCTAATTTCCTTTATGTTTACAATCTTCCCTATTGTTACCTCTTCCATTATGCATACATATAAAGTTAAAATATTTCTTTGTTAACATTAATGTTTGAGTTTTCCAGAGAACAAGGGATTTCATGACAGCAGTCTTCAACTGAGTCATAAAGAGAATGAGGATCCACTTCCTTGACTCCACCTGATTCGACTGGAGGCATCTGAACTGCCCCACATCATCAACTCCACCTGACAAGCACTATCCTGAAACTAGCTTGAAAATACATCACTCGACACAACTCCAGACCAAGGAACTGAAACAGCACACCTTCTACAATCTGGCCAGAGCTTCAGATGAGAGCTTCAGTCAACACTAGAACTGAAGTCAGGAACTTCAATCAAGCATCTCCTGCCATACAGAGACTGTCTGATCTACTGAAGATTTTGTTACACTAACATTTTTCTTCTCACAGGTCCCCATGAAATTGTCATCGTCCTATCTCAGCAGGAAGTAGTTTTGAGAATTCCATGCCCCCTCTCCCTACTATTGATATTATAGGATAGTTTACACCTGTTAGTATTAGTTTTCAATTATTTTAGAGTTGGGATTGGAAAGAGGTGTTCAGACTTGGGTGTTTCTTTCAGATAAATTTAGATTTAGATGGGATAGATGTTTGATACATTTTGTTCATTGACACAAGTTAGTTGTTTTAAGTTTAAATATCCTTTTTAGACTAAAAGGGGAATTGTAGGAGGAAACCATGTGCCGCCATTAAACATGTGACTTACTAGAGGCACACACAGATGAGGTAACAAAAGGGTGGTTTACCGCACCACTAAACACACCCACTTTAGGCATGACTAAAGACGTATACGGATGTAGGCGGTGTACTACATCACTAGCGAGGCCCACTTTTGGGCATGGCTAGGGGCGTTATGGAGGAAGGAATAAAAGAACAGCGGAAGTCTAGCTTTTATTTTCCGGCTTTCTGGCTTCCAGTTTGGCGGCAGAAAACTACACGGCTCATCTGGGTTACTTGTTTGTCTCTTGTGAGTAATTTCTACAATAAATACTCATTTTTACTTTCAGTAAGTGTGTTGTTTATCATTGCAGCATCACCATATAAAGTTAATTATTGTTCTTTCAAGGTCTGTGGAGAATTGTGTTGGGATTTTGATGGGGATTGCCTTGAATCTGTAGATTACTTTTTGCAAGATTGCCATTTTTACTATATTGATACTACCTTTCCAA